CAGTATCACTACGGAAGTAGATTGCCCAACCTTCCTTCCGAGGAGTGGCTGGTGGGGCACGTTAATTACTCTATGAATACTAGAATTCCAGAGTGTACACTGGAATATAGGCTCCATAAGTGTAGATATTTTGTTTTACTCACTATTGTGGCTTTAGCACCTAACCCACTATTATCACAGGATACCAAGCTAAAAACCAACCCACAGCCATTGAGTTGACTCCAACTCATAGCAACCCTATAGAACAGAGTAGAACTGTCCCCTAAGGTTTCCAAGGCTATAAATCTTTGCAGAAGCAGATTGCCTCATCTTTCTCCTGCAGAGTGGCTGGTGGGTTCGAACTACCTATCTTTTGGTTAGCAGTCAAATGCTTAAAACTCTTCACTGCCAGAGCTCCTATCACATGGTAGGTTCTTAATAAATGTAGGCTGAATGGCTGATGGGAGGCCACATAGCACCTTGACTAAGAACTCAGACTCTGGTGCCAGACTGCCTGGACCCAAATCCCAATTCCATTGTTCCAGATGGGAATCTGGGCAAATAAATTAGCATTTCCGTGCCTTATTTTTAAACTAGGGTCAATAATATGTATCTTAAAGGGAAATCACATAATATTTATAAGATACTGCAGTGTAGTAAATTACTTAGTATGGCTTTTCTACCCATAAGTCATTGTAAACTCAGTGGTGGAATGAGCAACTGAGGAGCTGATTGTAAATGGTATCCAAGTGGAGTATTTCTGTTGGGTGTGGCACAATATAATGTTCTGGGAGGTGCCCACTCTCTCTCAGGTGCTTAGAGTTCTGATGCTATGATTGGCTAGTTTGACCACCCTGCCGGGCTCAAAAGGAGGCCTCCTAGAGGCAGAACTCTCTCTCTGACTGCTGGTTGAGGAAGACGTGCTGCCGAAAGAGACACGCGCCCCTGAAAGAGACAGGCGTTGCTGGGAAAGAGACGCAAGAGACACGCATTGCTGAGTGAGACACCGAGGGACCAGTGCTGCTGGGAAAGAGACTGTGAGAGACTGTTGGCCAAGGGACGGTGGGCTGGGAGAGAGACTGAGCATTTTTCTTGAACTTGAGTTGTAGCCTGGTGCTTCCCTAATAAACCCCATACTCTGTGAGTTCTGTGTGGCCACTGCAGTGAATTATCGAACACAGGAGAGAGGTGGTGGGTGCCTTGGGAGGAACGGTTGGTGAAAGGGCTGGAGGGAGGCAGCATGTCTGGCCTTGCAGTAATAGGCCTTGGGTTACTGCTGGTAATCCTGCCTTCCCCTTGTAGGGTTAGAGGAGGTCAGAACATGTGGCCTCCTTGTCGTTTTTGCAGATACTTTTTAAAAATGACTAATATGCTCTATAAATGTTTATTAAATATCTAGATAAATCAGTTTGTTTGCACCACTTCCGTTCTCATCACCAGTGAGGTTTTGTTTTTGAAACTGAAGTTTGATTTTGCAAAAAAAAAAGAAAAAGAATTTGTGAATACCAGACCAACCTTACAAAAAAAAAAAAAAAAAAAAAAGCCCAACAAACAGGAGTCTGTGTCCAAATGCTCTTCTCCCTTAAGACTTGCAGCTATGCAGCTTTCTACGTATGCAACAAGCTGAAGCACCTCTTTCCATCAACTCTGTTAATATGCTACTATCTCATCCTTCTAGACTGAGAGCTCCTTGAAAGCAGACAGTATCCAAAAGGGCCCTAATTTGCAGTGTTAAGAACAAAATGAGAGTTTGTGCCAGGTTTGGACCTTCCTGAGAACAATAAATCAAAATAGCTATTTGTGCCAAATACAAACCTTGATAGAACAATAGGGAGTTTTCGAAGTGTTCTAACCATAGGGACTTTTCCAGAAAAACAATTTGACATTGAAGGATGCTTCTGATTCACCATGCCAGACACAACCAACTCCCATCATACACATATACCTATGAAACCGATAACAGAAAGACCCCACTTTGTAAATAAAACCTTTCAATAAGGACATACATAAGACCTAATCATAATAATGTGCATACTGGAAATATCCTAATTGCCTTTTAAAACCCTGTACTATTGCTGCTTGAATAAACTCTCTTTTGGATGCTCTCTGTTCCTGAACGACTTCTCAATCAATAAACCTTATTGGTTAATTTGACTAGTTGATTGGATTTTCCTTTTCACTGTAGTGGGCAGTCAATCAGTGATTCTGAAATTAATGCATGCTTTACTCAATGAATGACCGTTTTGTGCATTTCGTCCTCATCATTCCTAAGGAGGGGATCATAATTCTTCTCAGCCTCTTCTCAACCTACTGTTCTTCAGTCTCAGATGTTCCTTCCACTTCTAGTCACTCAAATAACCCCCTCCCACTGCCTTCACTGCCAGCCTTACATCTGCTTGAACCCCAGCTCACCTCAGCCTCCCCACTATTCTCTTCTCCTGTTCCTGGTATCTGTTATCTGGTCCTTTCGCTTTTCCCTTTATATGACTTTCAATCTTTTGACATTTATTTTGGCAATTCTACTTTGTCCCTGCCTTTTATTTCAAGACAAGTCAAATCGTTTTGATAAAATAGAAAGTATTGATTGTACATAAATATTTTTTTCTTAATTATCTAGTGCTACTATAACTGAAATACTACAAGTACATGTCTTTAACAAACAGAAATTTATTCTCTCACAATGTTGTTGGTTTTATGTGCTGTTGAGTTGTATCCAACTCATAGCGACCCCTCCTTGGATTTCCAAGGTGGCATCACTATGGGAGTAGATTGCCCAACCTTCTTTCTGAGGAGTGGCTGATGGGTTTGAACTGCCAGCCTTCTGGTTAGCAGTCAAGTGCCTTAGGCACTACGCTACCAGAGCTCACAATGTAGGAGGCAAGAAGTCTGAATTCAAGACACTAGCTGTAGGGGGATACTTTCTCTCTCTATTTGCTCACAGTTTAAGAGGAAGGCCCTTATCTCATTTCAGCATCTGTGGGCCTGGCATTCGTTGGAGATCTCCATGTGTCTTAGCATCAATCTTCCCTTGGATCTAGGAGGTTCCCAATATGGGGACACTGGTCCAAAAGATGCACCCTACTCCAGCTCTTATTTTTTGGTGGTAGTAGGTCCTATTCTCTACTTTCCTCTCTCTCCTTTTATCTATTGTAAGATAAAAGGTGATACAGGTCATATTCCAATGAAGGTTCCTTTACATTAGATCAAAGCTGTGACCTGATTAAGGGTGTTGCTTCTCACCCTACACCTCTTATAACTGATTGGCTGATCACATTATATCACATCATGGGGAATGATTACATCATTATATAACTGCCAAATTTCATAATTACATAACTGCCAAACCACCTAGATTAATAGCCCAGTCAAGTTGATACATATTTTTTGGGAGATACAATCAATCCATGACAATGTTATTTTCCTTTCACTCCTATAAGCACTACAAGCTGCCTTATTGTCCATTTAGAAACAACTCTTTCTCATGGGTTAGGGCTTTCTGGAGACAGTATTTATTTATTTATTTATTTATATTTTCTTTCCCCAAAATTCTGCTAGTCATAGCTGTAACATACTGTCACCTTTATCAGATTTAACTGGTATGCACATATAAAGATAGTATGACTCACCACTTCATCCTCTCATTCTGGGCTCTGCCTTTGAGCCATTTCTAATCTGCTTAAATGGGAAATAAATGTAGGACATACTTAGAGTATAATACAAGCTAGTCCATAAGAAACAACCTTCTGAACATAGACCATTTGCTCACAAATCAGAATTGCTCTAACTCTTCCTTAGCATTGGCTCACTCTGTGCAGACCTACTTACTTATATGGGCTGCTTACTTATGTGCCTGGTTTTATTCTTATTGTGTATTTTTCTAGTATTGCTGTCCTAGCTGTTATTATGCTTTAATCCTTATAAGGATTGAGATCAAGTCTTCCTCTGGGTATTTTCATGGTGCCAAGGATGGATCTGCATACAGAGAGGCACTTGGTAGATGCCACTGACAGAAAGACAGTCTTTTCTTCCTCAGGTAACCCAGATCTGTCAACCTCTGGCTGTAGTTGTACCCTCAGAAGTGTGTCAAGTCTGTTTTGTCATTCCCTGTGGTTCTTAGGACACTGCCTTATACATCTGGGCAGCTTTGCTAATGAAACTGATCACCAGGGGCCAGTCTTGCAGTCACAGATCTTGACTTTTCTTCTTATTCTAAGAACCATTTTTCTTCCATGCCTTCAAGAGCTCCACTCCTCAGGGGAGTCACAGCAGTAGATTGGTTATGCTAAACATCTCACCTTAGGGGTTCGATTTTGATTTTTCCACAGCCATCCAGTCATTTATATAGTCAAGATAGACTCATCTTGAAATTTCACAAAGCTGTTTAATTTTTGGCTAAGGCACTTGACTGCTAACCAGAAGGCTGGCAGTTCAAACCCACCAGCCACTCCTCGGAAGGAAGATGGGGCAATCTACTTCCGTAGTGATACTGCCTCGGAAACCCAAGGAGGGGTCGCTATGAGTCAGGTCTGACTTGACGGCACATAACAACAACAACAACAACAACAACAACAACAACTCTAGATAATTTCTATCCATGGTATTTCCTGTCCTCTCTTGGCTTCCAAGAGAATAGTCTGTGGAACAAGAAACTCAAATGCATGTCCTTTATCACTATCTTTGTTTCCTTTTCTTACCCAAAATATTAATGTGTAGCTAAGCACCAAGTATTTGAGATTGTTAATATTTTGTTTGCATCTAACAAACACCCTGCCGTCCAGTTGGATCCAACTCATAGTGACCACTCCTTGGGTTTCTGAGGTGGTATCACTACGGAAGTAGATTGTCCAACCTTCTGAGGAGTTGCTGGTGGGTTTGAACCCCCAGTCTTCTGGTTAGCAGTCAAATGCCTTAAGCATTATGCCACCAGATGTTGTTGTGGGCAAGGAGATACAGAAATAAAGACAGGGATAATTAGGAATTTCAAGAGAATATGACATGGCCTCTTTCATTTTGTCCTTCAGTTTCTAGACCTGTGGAAAAGACACTGTGCTTGGGACCTACCCCTTTGGCCTCTCAGCTCTGCAATATCCCTTGTTCTATGGACTGCATTGTCTCTTCCTGGTCAGCCTGGGGCCTGTGTACCCAAGAAAGCTGCCGAGATACTCAGGGGAGGAAAGGTGAGTGCCTCATTTGTGTGTGCTTCATATACTGTCAGTGTGCACCTTTATTCTTGTAGCTAAACAGCTCATTAAACCTGCTTAAGAAACTGTTTGTTTGTAAAATTTAGATAACTAGTTCAAACTGGACTGCATTCAGTTATTGTGGAAGCAATTGGAGATATTTCTATGGACCACAGGAATCCAACTTTCATTGTGCTCCCAATTAGGCTAATAGCTAATGAAGTGACTGTTATACCATTTAGTATTTTATGTAAATACACACACATGTGTATATAGATACACAATGGTTAGAGTGAGGGAATTAAACATAACTTCTGTAATTACACAGAAAATAATTATTTTGAATATCTATTATTTACTTTCACATTTGATATACTTAATTTAATCTTATATTCCTTGTTCTCATGAGGGACATCATGTACATTGTACATCTTTTAATGCCATCCTTAGGCTTAAAGTAAAATTTTCAAACTTCATGTGGCTATTTAACTTGATAGGCCTTTATAGTCTTGTTTTCTTTAGTTTGTGGTTAAAATACATATATATCAATCATAAATTTTTTTGGGGGGAGGTGAGATCTTGCCTTATCTTTCATTAACATTTCAATTTCTAGTGATAGTCTGTGCCCTTAAATGATATGGTTAAAAAGGGAAAGAGATCCAAGAGCATTCTAGACGTTGTGTTTGCCAAGCCCTAACCACAGTTACTGCATGCAAAAAAGGAAAAAGAATAGTCAGGTACTTGATGCTTCAAAACTACTATTCCCAACTCTCAGAATAATGTTGTATTTATTCAAAAACTCATATTTCGGTTATCCCTGGTGTGCTCACATGCACACATATATAACATGTGTATGTCCCTTGGCTTTTTCCCTTATTCTGACCCTTTTATCCTGAATAAGAAGAGGAAGATATTTGTTATGTTTCTGGTGGTGTAGTGCCTAAAGCATTTGACTGCTAACCAGAAGATTGGTGGTTCAAACCTACAGCCACCTGGAAGGAAGATCAGGCAATCTCTACTTCCATAGAGATACTGCTTTGGAAACCCAGGGAGGGGTCACTATGAGTCAAATTGACTCGACAATGGTAAGTTTGGTTTGGTTTGGTTTTAGGGCAGACAGAAGTGAACTTTATTCTTTCAAGTTATAGAAATCTGGATCTTAGCAGAACCTAGAGGTGGCCTATACTACTCCCTTATTTGACATGTAATCAGAAAGTCCCCAGACCCCTTCAGCTCATGGATACAAATTAAATTTTATTAATACTAAACCCCACAATGTGTGGCCTTGCTCTCCTCACATGTATAATCAGGCCATACAGGTCTCTTATAGTTGCCTATGAGACCCCCTTGGTTACTTATATGTGCTTAGAATCACCCCTCTATGTTCTACCTGTGGCACTCATGTTCAAGGCCACTGTCTATAAAATCACCTGTGGTTTGTATCTAAGTGTCCTCCAGCTACTGTGGTCATCATTGTCCATGCAGACACAACTTTGCTTTTTAGACAGCTTCCTTTGTTTTCAAAGTTGTAGAATATACAACATGCCAAGTGGACCTTATATCATCTGTGACACTTTTGGTTATAGGTAACAAAAACCAAGCTCCAACTAGTTTAAGCTGAAAGAGAGGAATTTATTAGTCCATATTACTAAAAATAGAAGGGAAGGTTGAGCTGCATTCAAAATTATAAATGAGGTCATCAAGTCTCTGTCTTTTTCTGTCACTTTTTCCTCTATCTTTATCTTTCTGTTTCTCCTTCTCTCAGTTCTATTTTCCTGTGTTAGACTCCTTTTGAAACAGGCCATCTCCCTTAAGTGAAGACTAGCATGGATTTTCATTTTAGATAGTAAATAAAATATGTAAGAATGTCTTTCCCCACAGTCCCAGAGAAAGCCCTGGAATCCAATTTCATTGGCTGTTTTGTTTCAAACTGAGAATATAGTGTTTTGATTAGCCAGTCCATGGACATCTGACCACTATTGGCATCTTGAGAGGGGCAGTCTCATTTAAGCCTGAAATGTTGAGAATGGGGAAAGGATGATGCCTACAAGGAAAAATGAGTTATTGATGCTACAAGAAAGTAGAAGCAATGCTGGACATCAAATTTAATAGATGTTTATCAAATGCTTTTACCCCTTTACCTCTCACTGTTCTGGGACCATAGGTTCCATGTAACAATTAAGAGGATGTTCCTTCTCCTAGTCCTGTGATATATGTTTTGTTACATGAGCCCAAATTTTTGCAAAGCCCTTTGTGAAAAATTGCTCTTTTAACTTTTATTCCAGTCTTCCTTTTCCATATAATTGAGAGTGGATCCCTGAATCTCAACTGGGAAACTCATCCCATCCTAATACCTCCATTTGCCCTGTTCCTGCATTTGTTAGGCTGGGTTCTCTAGAGAAGCCAGACCAGTAAAGCTTAGAGAGAGAGAGAGAGAAATTTGTCTTAGGAAAATAGCTCTAGCACTTATAGAAGCTGGCAAGTCTCAAGTTCTTGGATCAAACGTCAAGCTGGAGGCTTTTCCCAACTTACACAGCTGCAGGGGCTGAGGAGCTCAAGGCTGGCAGGCAGTCCACTGGCTGTTGACTCCAACGAATGACGAATCCAAGATCTCCAGGCCGAATGGTGGATTGTTCACTCATGGACAGTTGTAGGCAGGACAACAGGATCCTGATCCACAGAAGAGTGTCTCTTTTTCCCAAGATGTCCATAAATATATTAGAAGCAGACCACACCCCTAGGGAAACTCCCTTTCAACTGATTGGCTGCTCCAAACATAAACATCTCATCTTATAATGGGAATAACCCACATCACAACTGCTTAAACCACTCAGAATTGTGGTCCAGAGAAGTTGACACACAACTCTAACTATCACACTGCAAGATACTCTTAAGCCAAACTTTCTCCTTATTAACTCCCTTTTTCCCCTCTTATATAAGTGAGTTCCTACAAATACACCCTCATCCATCATTCTCAGACACCATTCAATTTAGGATTAGCACTTAGAAGCAGTAAACACAAAACACTTCATAAAATGTCAAAACTAAAGTATAGAAAATTGAAACAGTGTGTCTAAAATTGCATAGTGATTTAATAATGACAGGCCAGAACTAATGACATGGATTCCTCCTATCTCTTCAATCCAGTGTCCTTCAAACAATAAGCTTCATTGGTTTGTTTCTTCCACAAGCCCAAAGAAGATTAGATCAAACTCCAAGTCCGGCCCACTGCAAAAAGGACATGGAGACACATCTTCTGACCTCCTCTAACTTCACAAGAGGAAGACAGAATCACCATCAGCAGCCCAAGGCTTATTGCTGTGAGGCCAGACATGCCACCACCCTTCAGCCTTTTACCAACTTTGACACCAACCATCCCTCCAAGGGTACTCACTACTTCTCTGCTGGGCTCAATAATTTGCTGCAATGGCCACACAAAAGTCACAGACAATGATTAAGATTGTGGGGTTTATTAGGGAAATAACAGGCTTCAGGTTCAGAAACATGCTCAAGATACAGTTTTCTATTAGGGCAGTCTTCCCTCTGCTTGTGCCCTCCGACACACCTCTCTGACCCTTGGTCCCTCAGCCTGGCCTCTGGCTCTCTGGGCCAGGTAAGCCAGCTGCTCTGTCTCATGCCTCTTGGTTCTACTGCCACTGTCTCTCTGCCAAGGCATCTCTCTACTGGGGTGTCTCTCAGCCAAAGAGGTCCAGGATGCGTTCCACGTCACCTCCAGTTCTTCTCTCTTAATGGCACTGAGATTCCCTCTCTGCTTCTAGGAGGGCTCATTTTTAATTTTCAGAGTGACAAAACTAACCAATCCCAACATCAGAGTTAAACACACCTTATTTGCATGGTCCCATCCAGTTATCCAGTGGAAGTTACAAAGACTATGACTAGAACAGGGCACCAGAGGAGCAACATCCACACGGAGGAAATGCAGGACACACAGGAGTGCATAACTATGAGGGACACAGGAGAAGGGGCATTACTGGGCAGAGAGGGGAGGAGACTTGGTTGGCGTTGGGGTTAGTAAATGGGGAGTGAAACTAAATATACATGTAATGTTGAATGTAGAACAAACTGCTCTGTAAACTCACACCTAAAGCACAATAAAAATAAATAAAATTAAAAAAAAAAGACTATGGCTAGAAAAGCCTACCAAGTAATTCACTGCACTGCAAGCCCTAAGGTTAATGGAGCAGTCATTTGCCTATTTTGCTATTTTACACCACATTCAAAACTAAACCAAACCAAACCTGTTGCTGTTGAGTCAGTTCAGGCTCATGGCTTCTCCACATTGACCAGTGTTAAGCATTACCCTTGACAGCAAATAACTAAGTGGTTTACCAAATAAATGGGTCATAAGATGCAGCTTAACATCAACTAATTGCCTGAGGGGAGAGAGAAAGAAGATTACAGTTTTGTGAGGAAGGATGGGTGTACCCAGGACCTTTAGAGAATATCAGATAACTAGGAAGTATTCCTTACCCCCCTCCCCCAAAACAGATAGCATCTTTTCACTTTCAAAGGGAGGCTCAGCCTTGGGGGTTGAAAGAAAGGGTGGAAGTGGTAGTGGAAAGGAGGCCTCCTTAAGAAATTAGGACATGTTGGGTTAATGGGAATCAGGACCTATTTAAAAAAAAAAAATCATGGCAGTCAAGTCGATTCTCACTCACAGTGATTCATATGTTGCAGAATAGAACGGCTTCATAGGGATTTCAAGACTGTGACCTTTTGGGGGGAGATTGCCAGGCCTTTCTTCTAAGGCACCTTTGGGTGGGTTTGAACTGCTAACTTTTTGATTAGTGATTGAATGCTTAACTCTTTGCACTGCCCGCGGACTTTGATAGGGCCCATATTGAGGCTAAATTATCTTATCTTGGCTCTAAGTGATCACAGACAGGAGAGACCATCACCACAATATTGTTATTCAGGTCTAGGAGTTTTCTATTTTATAAATGCTTCCTCAGAACAAGGGGAAATTTGATCTTTAA